AAGCATTTCATCTCACTTCACAACACCTCTGACTGCACTTCAGTGAATTGTTCTTATGTGCACTGTGTAGCAACTTACGTTATAACAAAGCAGATAAGGGCTGTAAGCTGCTGCTTATGTTAAAAAGTGGTTCTTCAGATTTTCTCTCATAAAATTCAGTTGAAGATAAAACAAACACTTCTTTTTACACTTTAACTTATCACTGAACCCAAGTGTTTATTTAAATGTCAACAGTACTTTTAAGAACGTTACCTGTCACCTTGGTCTTTGGTCTTGGATGATTAAACTGCCTTCCAGAGAACCAAATGTCAGAGATACTAGACCAAATAGTGGTTAAAAACTCCAAAGGAGGTAATATAGTAATCTTATTCACAATGGGATTAACATATTTTAGACATTCATTTTAAACACTACCTCAGTTAATATAAAGTATAAAATCTGTGGTTTAATCCCTCAGAAGTTAACAGTAATTCTTTTTGGTCACACACACGCAACTATCCCCATCCCTGGACCCCACCTCACTCATCCATCCTAAAATGAAGTCTTCGTTACTGTTAGCCTGAACAGTTTTTTTGACTGTTACTTTGAAAGACTTGTGTGTATACATCATGATATTTGCCTATAGCACTTAGTTTGGGGAGACACTCAGAGCTTTGTGGTTATCAGTACTTTAAGAAAAAAATGTACTTAAATGTATAGTGCTATTTGGTTTATCCATGTTTCACTGACAGGTCTAATATGTTTTCTTTGAGTACTCGTTTATATAAAAGTAGACTTTAATGATGAAAAACGCTCACATGGAGTGCCAAGTGATTAACTTAGGTGTTTAAAAATAATAAATTATAGCAGAAGAGATTAGGAATGGTGTCAGTGGTAATAGAAATCATTGAGAAAAGTGTCTATAAATAATATTATCTGACTATAAAACACCAAAATAATGTCAATACTGTAGTTTTTTGAGATTTTAGAATTAATCTTAGTCCATATAAATTTATACTATTGCTAATTATTGATAATTTGGAGGAATTTGGGCAGTTGTGCTGGTTATAAACTGTGAATTTCTAATTGTAAAGTGAATCGTTATTTCTAATTGAAAAATTTTTTTCAAGAACAGATTTCAGCTTCACATACTAAGTAAATACTGATAAATAAGGAAATTAGAAATTAGTGTTTGTAATTAAATATGGTCTAAAATTTCTTATAGTTTTATTTCCTGTTTATGCTTAGGTAGATTGGAGAGGGGAAAGTCTCTTCTCCCTAATTAAATTTTTTTCTAATAAAGATTGGTAGCATAAGGACATTCTGTAAGACAATGACATTAAAAGAGGCTCTTTGGAGGTAGATATATAAATTATTACACTTGTTACTCTAACATCATGTGTAAAAGTCCTTTTGAAATGGTGGATAGTTTTCAGCTCTTTTATCCAGAGCTTGAAATAATTAAAGCTGAGTTTTTCAGGGCATATTACAATGGCAAAGTATTCAACAGTGAGGTGTCAATGCTTATTTAGATTTGTCTACTGATATTTATATAACTTTTTTTCATTCCATTCAGAGGATGCCTTTTATCCCCACATTAAAGCACAGATCATTAAGCAATAAAAACCAGTCAAATTATCATCCAAATTATTACTGCAATTATTTTTGCATGGTAAGAGTGAGGTGCTAATTTTGTGTGAGATGAGCTTTGTAAACTACCTTGGGAAAGATCCTTTGGAAGTAAAGTTTTTCCCCTTTGTCCTACACTTCTAGTTTTGTCTCATTCACAATCCATTCAAACATGGGAAAAAAAATAGAATTAATTGCCAGAGTTTTGTGAGAACTGATATTGGAATAAAAGAACATTGCAGATTTTCTAAAATGTAGGTTGGGAAAGGTCTCTTGTCTCCCATTCAAGAAATAAATTATTACCAGTTTACTTTCAAGAGTAATACTACAATAAGAGTTTTATTATAAAAGCATACCAGTAAAATTAATAGCAGTGCTTATCAAACGATATTGAAATCTAAGAATCTTTGTAAGAGTATTCTTTTTTTCTTTCAGTTCCAGGTGCCCAGGGTATTTTTCATTCATAGTAGGTTTATGAGACTCCCACAGAAAGTGGATTATCTACCCTTTGGAATATTTTTGTAAAGTAGGTGGATAGCTCTGCCACAGCATGCATAAATTGCACATTTTGTTTGACTTTCTTTATAAAATATTTAATTTGAAAAATATAATTTATGCCAAAATAAAGTATACCTTGTAATTTTGCCACTAAAAAGGTTGATTTAGCACAAAATGCAAAGTTTTGGGGCAGAAAGGGAGGGAGATAAAAATTTTCATAGATAATAGTTGAAAAATGTTCTATTACTGGCCTGTCAGAAACCCTAAAGCTGCATTGTAAAACAAATGGTGTAAATTAGTTTTGAAAAGTGGTAAGGGATTGTGAAAAGAATCTCAGATTAATGCTCCCTGACCACATGATTTTCTTCTTTTTTATTTAGTAATACGCTGCTACATATTTGGAGGTTCTGGTGTTTGTAGGTCACTGAACAGACATTGAAATATGATTTATATTGTATAACTGTAACATAGAAAGATAAAGTATTTATATATTTTCCGTAAGAATATTTCATTGAGTTGTGTATAATTTAAATAAGGTTTGTCCCCAAATGGTTTTGCTCACCTTGATTTTTTGTTGTTTTGTTTTTGTATAATGTGTACATTTTATGTCAAGGGCATTAAAAGCCTCCTGAATCATAATCTTATCAAAGGGATACATTCTTAATAAAATGTACTTAAAATTTTTAAACTTGTATTGTTTATTTGAAGTTTTAGAACAGTCAGTGTTGATTTGAATAATATACTACTGAGGCTGATATATGTGATATCCAGTAAAAGTGACTTTTAGTTACCACAGATATGAATCGAGTTCAGTAACATGCTAGTAGCTTGTTCCAAATGTGTTAAAATAACCATTCACACATTCTTAAACATTCTTCATAATCTAATCAAACACATAGCCTTTACAGTTTTTTTTTTTCTACATCAAATCATAATCAGGGATTTGAAAAAACGAGTCGATCTTTAGAACAATTCTGAATTTTTTGAGGAATTAATATAAATGATGAGGGTGACCTACGGCCACCTAGTGGCAAAAGAAAATACCACAAAGGAAATTACCAAGCCTCGAAAATAAAATTCAGTGTCGAAGCTAGGTAGGGTCTGTTATAGTTTATTAAATGTGGTAAAATGTATGTCTTGCTTTTAGAAATAGATTTGTTTTGGATATTTTGGTCTTTAAGCACATTTCTGTATATCATTTTCCCATTGCTTTCCATTTATAAATGTATATTTTTCAACAAAAACAGTAGGCCCCCAAGTAAACTAAAAAGTGCAGTTAATCATCAGCTGATCTTTGAAATATGTGATAATATAGGTGAACTTCAGAAAGCTTGTTCTATTTTTAAGAACTCTTCAGTGAATAAAAATACTCAAAAATAAAGTACTTAGTCCATTCGGGCTGCTATAAAAAATACCACAGACTGGGTAGCTTTTAAGCATTAGACATTTCTCATGGTTCTGTGGGCTGGAAGTCTGAGATCAGAGTACCAGCATGATCAAGTGAGGGCCGTCTTCCGAGTCCCAGACTTCTTGTGTCCGCACATGGAGGAAGGGACTAGGGAGTGTCCTGGGGTCTCATAAGGGAATTAATCTGATTAAGGGCTCCAGCTTCATGACCTCCCAAAGGCCCCACCTTCAAATACCATCATTTTTGTGGAGCAGGATTTTCACACAAATTTGGGAGTAATCATTCAGACCAGAGCAACTACTTTTTTATTGATTTTTAAAAAAAGACAAGGTGCACTAAAATTTTGTTTCTTTAAGGCTTATCATAGAATACTGAGACACTATATTTGCTTAGTCCTTTAAGTTGAATATACTTATTGTGTTATATGTATCATTTTAACTGCTAATTCTGAAGGATTTTTATCTTCTATTGTATCTTCAAGGGTTTTTAAAGTTCTTCTTTATGCAAAATATTTAATGTTTTGTAAATTCTTTGAGATGAAAGCCAGCTTATCTTTCCATAGAGCTCTTAGAACAAATATTAGATGTTGCCTAACTCAACTCTATCTTCTTAACAAATACACATTCTAGTGGAGTATTCGTTTCACCAGAATTAGTATGAGTTGGATGTTAGCATGTCAGCAAGCACTTTCAACAGGTCCATGGCTCTGTTGTGTGACTAGCCTGTTCCCAGTCTGAACCATCATGGTCCCCAGCTGAGGACCAGTCTCCAGGCTGATGTGGTTTTTATTGGGACTGCCCACCATCAAAATATCCTGATATTTCTAAGGAATTATTGCTAATTTAGTTTTAGGTATAATTTTTTAGTATTATGGCTATGTTAGAAAAAGCCTAGAGAAACAGATGTTTACAGGTGAAATCATATGATTTGCTTCAAAATAATATCAGGAGGGAGAGTAGATAAGGGTATGGATGAGCTAAAACAGCTGTTGGGGCTGATGATAGTACATAAGAGATTATTAAACTATTCTGTTCTTGCATATATTTGAAACTCTCCATGAATTTTTTCAATCATAATTCTACTGACACATAAATTACATATTTGTTTCTGAATAACTTTTTAAAGCAATGCTTTTAAAATGATAAATAGTATTGAGAATTGTTTTTAAATATAATTTATTTGGTTGTTATATAAACATGGGAATGTTTATAGCCAAAACTATAGAGTGATGCTGTAAGCACAAAGTTATGCCCAGCACTTCCTACTGATATTTTGTTATATTTCAGAAAGATGTCTTCATCTGATTTAGGCCAGTGATTTTCAAAGTTGAGTATACGTCTGAATGCTTGGTGAAATATAGATTCCAGACCTCCTACCGTAGAGATTCTGATTAGGTTCAGAGGCACATTATTAGTAAGCTCATGAGGTGATTTATCAGCTGTACTAATTGTTAGATTTTCATGTCATTGACGTAGAGCAAACACAATACAATGGTGAAATACTTTAATTAAGGCTTGTTGCAACAAAAATGATTTCAAGGTTTTGTGGATTATTTTTCAAAGAAAATCTATATAAAAGATATTATTTACAAATCAGTCATCACTGTCAGTGACATTCTGTGTACTTTAATAATTGCATCATGCCAAAGGAACACAAAGTAAATGGTGACAATACTGGCCCCAAAGTCTTCTCAAAACTATTATACTAATCAAGATACTTGTTTGTACTATGTTAGGAGTTCATAACCAGTTTTCCTAGCAAAAGGCTTACATACACATAAGGAAAAAACTGAAAAGTCTGAACAGAAGTCCTGGTTTGTGTAGGTATGTTTAGGCCAGCTGACAGCCACCCAACTTTGTGATGTGGGTCCTTTCTTTATTCTCTTCATAGTGTTGAATGGCACAGTACAGGCCCTTTGGTACCAGAGGTACAGGCAGTGTCGTTTCCATCACAGCAAACAAAAAGAAACCCTTGTTTGTGCTTGTTAGAAATGTGATCAATAAACATTAAGGGCTGAGGGGCAGAAGGAAGAGAAAGGAACACGTATTGAACACCTATTATGTACTAGGTGCTTTGCATATATTGGTTCAAGGAGACAAAGCTGCTGCTGAGCCAAAACAATTTCTTCACTCTAGATAGCTTTTTACAGTTATGTCTAGTCAATATCCAACAATATGGTTTAATTTCATTTATTAGGTTAGCATAAGAGGGATATAAATGAGTAAGGGTATATTGTCATGACCCAGACAACTTATCACAGAGTCCAAAGGATGCCAAATGAAAACAGGTCACTTATAGTTATTGAAAAAAAAAAAAAAAAGGAACCATAAAATGTGAATGGAATTACTCAATGACATACTTTCCTTTTTTCTATTTGAGGTAGTCATCAAAAAATTCTGGTAGAAGACTAGTGTCTACTATGATATTATCTTGACACTAAACCAGGAGTTCCTTGCCAATCCCAAGCTTTAACTGTGGTAAGCTAGATAGAAGGACAGTTGTGGGGATCTTACTGATTCATTCACGTCTTAACCTATTAGACAAGGTCTGTGCCCCCAGAAGAGTTAACTTTGCTGTGTCAATGAACTGCAGATTCTTACTGCAAGGCAAATCTAAAATCTGTTTTGGTCTGAACCATCTGTGACTTTTTTTTTTAAATATATTCAGAATAAATTAACATTAATAATCCATGCTCTAGTAACGAATAGTTTGTGGCCTTTATTAAAGCCTTATATCTAGGTTCCTTCACCCTTAAGCTATTAAATGTAGGAGTAAAACAATAGAAATACTTTCTCACTAACGGCTGAACTTATAGGATTGTAGCCACCCTGTCCAGTACTGAGTGGATGAGATCTATCCCTATGTCAAGTGTCAGGGCAGGTGTTATTTAAAGGTGAGCCTAGAACACAGCAGCAAGGGAAGCCTGTTACCATGGTCCTGCCATTTCTACAGCAAGCCTGTTCCAAGGAAGGATGTTAATTCACTCTCATAGCCTCTGAACTTTGAAACCTAGCAAGATAGTTGGTCTTGTATAAATCAGACCTGCCAGTGGTGATAGCTCACTAGGATTAAGCACCAAGGTATCTGGTGACAGAATAGTGCCAGTTATGCTTCTCTAGGTGTCTGTGTAGCATAAATGTATGAAACGGGTATATGATTAGCGGCAGTGTTCACCGTGATCTAAAAGGGCAATGGAGGAGAGGCTGCTATTTTCACTCGGAGAAGGTGAAGTGAGACCCAGTGGCACAGCCATTTGCATTTTATACTCAGACATTGGTGGATTTGTTGGAAAGCTGTCCTTGTCTCCAGACAAGGGCGAAGCCAGCTGGGACACATAATTCAAACTACTTTCTCCGGCTGAGATTTCTCCCAGGGAATTCACATAGTTTTTGTCTAGTGTCTTTAGTAAATTTTCAGGTGAAGTCAGTAGTCCCAGCTGACTTGGTGGAGCTTCTGGGGGTATTGAGACATGGCCACAAGAACCAGAGTCAGAAGCTGCTTGATTATAGGTAAAGTTCTCAAAACAGATGCAGGGGCCAGGGCTGGAGTAGTTCTCTGTTGGGAGGAGGTAAAGGTAGACAGGCTTAGTACATTCAGTTTCTGTGAGTGACTTCCTTGCACCTGAGAACTGTATCTTCCTTCCTTCTGGCTTGTTTACAACTTCAATAGCATCTGGAATGCAGTCATTGACATTCATTATTGTCAGATGAGGATTCTCCTAAAAGAGAAAAAAAATACGTAAATATAATTGTGTGTGTGTATCAGTATGTAAAGTGTGGAAAATGCACCTGGAGCTTCAATTTTTCTCATGTTTCATCGTGGTCCTGTTAACTTGAAGTGGTGTTAAAAAAAAAAAAAAAAGGATTTCCCCTGATGGACGAAATCAAACTTCCATTCACTCATTTCATGGCTTTGGGAGCAGAGTCGGTTTTGCTCTGTTCTATCTTCCTGAAGAGATCTAGGGAAGTACGATTATTACAGCCCTGACGCTGGATTAGAATTTAGTAGATATATAGTATCCATGCAGTTTCCCAACATTTACCTTGGATTTTATTAATGACAGGACACTGCTCTTGTAAGGGTCTGGAATGTCAGGGTAACACTTCTCCTTCATCCTAGGAAAAAAAGTGAAAATTAAACTGAATTTTGCAATATGGTGAAGAGTTAAGAGTCGAGAACTCTGGAGGCAGATTCCTGGGTTCTGATCCTTGCTCTGTCGCTCACTATGTGACACTGGGCAAGGTACTTAACCCTCCTCTGCTTTAATGTCCTCATTGGTTCAATGGAGATAATTACTGTAGTCACCGCAGTGTTGTGAGCATTGAATGAGTTGTTATGTGTAAAGCACTTAGAACATAGTCAAACACACAGTAAGTGAAACACGAACATCAGCTATTGTTATTGAACAAGTTTTATAATCTTTTGAAATGGTTATTGTTTCTCTATTGACCAGAAAAGCAAAATTGTTTTAATATTTCCTTTTCAGCATTTTCCCCATATTATTCAGTGTAATTTCTATTTTATTAAAACTCATTTCTATATTTTCCTCTGACTCTCTTCTTGGATAATCTTCCCCACATACTTACCACTGAGTCTTCAAGTAGCACAGGATCATGATGAGCAAAAGGCAGAAAATCATGGGGAGTATGATACGTATCAGTACATGAGCTGCAGAAGGAAAAAGGGATATTTTGAATGGGTACATTGCCCTCCTCAAAGGCATAAAAATAAGTTTAAAGACAAAAGTTAATTTTACATGCATTTTTATTCCTCAAAAGTCTATTTTTGTGAAATTCAATAAGAGTTTTCCCTGATGGGGGGTGACGACAACCAACCAGCTAACACAGGGAACCATCTGTCTTCAACACTTGTGACTCGAACTTCTGAGAGATTGCATCGCTACTCCCAATTCTTCACTCCCTCTGTGTATTAGACTTACACTCTGCACTCTTGCCAAAGTGTCATGGTAGGTGGAGTGTGCCTCTGCCTCTTGACTTAGAACTTAGTCACGTGACTTAGTTTGGCCAATAGGATTAGTAATTATAATGTTAGTAGCTGCCTTCAGTGTATGTGCAGTTTGGCTTGCCCTCCCGTGCTCCCGTGATCCACTATGGGAAGAGTTTGTCCCTTGTTGCCACTGCCTCTTCGGCCTGAGCCCCAGAGTGAAGCTATATGAAATGAACCCAAACTTGGCCAAAGTCTGGAGTCCAGCCTAGCTCAGCCTTGATCAGCCAAGCCATGAGCATAAAAAGAAATATCTATTTTTGTATGCCACTGACATTTTGAGGTATTTTGCTGTATATCAAAAATTGACTAAGGCACCCTCTAGTTAGTCTCTAATGAATGTCTTAACCTGAAAGAATTATTCTATTTTTATTTCTCAGATCTGTCAACCAGTGCTTCATCTTCTTAAATGCCTATATTCCTGTTAGTGCTTGCAAGCTCACCAATTAAATAACTCAGCTGGGTTGGTAAACGCTGTCTTTTATAAACTCAAATTGTACATGTACATGTACATGTATTGTGTTCAATCCATGTGCCTCCATGCCTTCTCCACTCCCCAGCCCCAACACTCACTGTCCTCTGTAAGGGATGGGGTTTGATTTGGGAATGGCGGCTAATTCTGGAGATTTGTAAGCTAGGGCAGGTAGATGCCCAGCCCAGTGCTATGAGGCAGAACAAGACTCTGGAGAAAAGGACACAGTAAGATGAGAGGATGGCAAAGTAAGCCCCTGAATAGTTGGCCTCAAATGAACCCTGACACCTAGGAAGGGGTAAAAACTCCTGACACCACTGATAAACACCATGCCCTAAAGGGCAGTAATTCTGACTATTACAATTGGTTTTAAAATTTGGTTAAATTATGGATTTTTATAATATACTTGAGGACAAGCCTGGAGAGCTACCCACAGTAGTTTCCAAAGTTCAGACTGGTTTACTAACCTTCTTATTGAAGTGTAATATAGTCACACCGAAAGGTGCTCAAAAGTGTACAGCTGGATGAATTTTCACAAACCAAACATACCCATTATAACCAGTACCCCGATCAAGAAAAAGAACACTAACGGCTCCCCAGAAAACCCCTGGTGTCCCCGTGTAGTCATTTTCCCCTCCCAAGGTAACCACTATCTTGTCTTTTAACAACATAAATGGCATTTGCCTCTTTCTGTACTCCATAAATGGAATCATACAGCAAGAGTCAGGTCTGGCTTCTGTCGCTCGGCATTGCATTTACGATTCGTCCATACTATTTTTGTAAATGTAGAATGTCATTCTCACTACTGTAATTGTGCAGCAATTTATTTTCCTTTTTAAGAATAATCAATATAATCAATAGAGTTACAGCCAAGGCTAAGGAGGTTTAGCACAAATGAAATCAGAAAATATATTTGAGATAAAGATAATTATGTGTGTTACATATGTACACACACACACACACACACACACACACACACACACCCCACCACCACCACCCCCCCCCCAGCCGAGTAAATACCAAGAGTGCTCGAATAATGTGAATCATTGGCTAAAATCTTAATCTGACTCTGAAAGTTCTGGCCTTTGGCTTAAAGACCTGGGGCCATGTTTCAGTCTAGTGGTGAACAGCAGTGAGTGCCCCCAGCTGCCACTGTCGTCACGTGTGTCCTCATCACTGGTCAGGATACTCAGGGTCAGCAGTTCTGCCTGATGAGCCCATCCCATCCCTGCTCCCCACCTTCAGCAATGGGACCCACACCACAGACGGTAACTCCAGGCAGATGTTTCAGCCTGTTCGTTTTTCATGGAGCAGTATCTTCAAAGGTCCCTTCTAGTGTGGGCTGCCTGTGCTACCCTATTTGACACCTACTTTTCTCCTTCTTCCCCCATCAGTATCTATTTCCTCCCCCACCTTCCTGTTTGTTGCAGGTCAGGGTTTACCAGGAGACTCTTTTCTATCACTAACTAGTTCTCGCCATTCTTCTCCCATCCTCTTCTTTCTTCATCTTTCAGGCCAAATGCATTTTTGAAAATGTGAATCTCTTTATCTTACCCCTTCCCCACCAAATCTGCAAACACTGGGTTTGTGAAGAAACCCTTCTTGCCCCATCACACCCGTCTCTAATCGCCCCTGGAGAGGCAGTCCGGAAGCAATTAGTCTGGCTGAGGGAAACCAGCCAGAAGGCTGGCTGCAGAGAGTGATGCTGCTCTGTAATGAGGAAAACACCACCGCCCTTGCCTAGACAGAATTCAGATGGCTCTTCCCAAGCCAACACTAAAATATGCCATCTGTGATTTTCGAACTATTCTGGGACTAAGTTCCAGACAAGTGCCTCAGGGCCAACTGAGAGAGGCAGGAGGAAGGTTCCAGATTATAGATCAGTTAGGTTATCCCCACTCATCCATTTTATGTAGTAGGATTCTGTGCGATGTTTTGTGTGTGTGTTTTTGTGAAACAAGCCTATGTAGAGAAAGAGAGATAGAGACAGAAAGACAGGGAAGAAAGGTCTAAAAATTCTTATCTAAACAAAGCCCACGGCAAAGTGCCTGTGATTTATCAGTTTCCGAGGACCTCCTAAGGGAAGAGTTTTGATGCAAAAAAACTCACAGTATTCATCCGGAGTGGTGACCTTGGTGAAAGTATCATGGGGGCCTTCGCCAACACTTGTGTATGGAGTGACTAAAAACTCGTAGAAGGATTCTGGCTGTAGGTGTTCCACAAGAAATGTCTTTTGTTCCGGGCTGTCGATTTTATGTTTGCAACATACCGAATTATCTGTGGTTTAAAAAATAAATAAATAAAAGGTTTTTTTTGGTTTGTTTCTGTTTTGTTTTTTTATAAGAAGAAAAGATTATTAAGTGTGTGAAGGGGATCTAGTGAGAGAGCTGGGCACTGTCACTCTTGTCGACTTGGCACAAGTCAACATTTTTAAAACAACCAAAAACTAAATCGTAATTTCATCACACCCGGGGACACTGGTAAAATTTTCAAGAAATGGCAAGAAAAGCAAAAACTTTACTAAGCAAAAGATGGTGAGGATCCAGGGAGAGCACACAAACCTGCAAGAGATGGTAAGAGCTTGCAAGAGACTTAAAAATACATTGTAATACCTTTAACGACTTCAAAGGCAAAAAGAAAAAGAGGTTAACGAAGTTTCCCAAGTGGCCGAAATCTTAAGGAATGCTTCCAAAAATACCAGGCCGCATCGTTTTTTAAGTAAGTTAAAATGACCCCCACCATCTTGCCCACCTACTAATCTCTTAGCACCTGTTTGATCATAAAAGCAAGAACATACCTCAGCCTGGCCACAGAGATAGCAGCCTTTTTTCATGATTTCAAATAATGAGATCTTGAAGAAGTAAACTAACAAAAATGTCACCTGAAAGGACTGCCTTTTCAAATCCTGGCTGGCACTGCTCTGCCTTGGACTTCAGGTAGACATGGTAGCCTTGTATAAAACCAGGTTGGGAGTCAATGGAATAATCCTTCCAACTCAGATTGAAGGAGTGGGAAGTCAAATTACTTATGACCACTTGAGGGTTGTCTGAAGGAGCTAGAAAAAGAAATTGGAGTAAGAAAATAGTCATGATTTAGAAATATTCTCTGAGCACGCATGCAAACTAAAAGTAGAACCACAGCCAACTCCAGAGGCTGTAGGAGCTTGTGGCAAGTTAAAGAATTATATCTTTTTCTCTAGCGGATATATTCCTTGATATAATTTGAAAGAGCTAAGAAGAAGTTAAACGATCTTCTTATTCAAGCCTTGCCTTTCACAAATGTAGAATGGATGCCCAGAAGGACTCCATAGTTTATACAAAGTCTCAGAGCAAAAATGAGAATAAAGGTTTCTTAGATTTCTTTCTGTTACTGAATTCTAAATACAATTGACCCGTGAACAACATAAGGTTTGAACTGCATGGGTTCACTTATACATGGACTTTTAAAAATAAATATACAGCTGGTCCTCCATAGCCCTAGCTTTTACAACTGCAAATTCCTAACCAAGGGTCAAAAAATACTGTTTTTGATCTGTGGTTGGTCGAATCCTCAAATATGGAGGGCTGACTATATGCATTGTTCTAAACCGTGTTATATAAGGGACTTGAGCATCTGTGGATTTTGGTATCTGTGGGGTTCCTGGAAACAATCTCCCATGGATACTGAGTGATAACTGTAGTTAAGTTCTGGGGGAGTTGAAAGTTATACCCAGATTTTCAACTGTGTGGGAGTTAGCACCCCTAACCCTTACGTCATTCAAGGGTCAGCTGTAGTGTCAGAGAGAAGGCCTGACCAGAGAATGGACTGAGGCGGGAGAGGGGTCGAGGAGGAAAGGTTATGTTCAGAGGTTAAGGGTGGGTTTGGAGAACTCTAGTTGCCAGGTTGCAGCAATGCAGTTCTCTAAGTGTCACTGGAAAAATCCGGGAGTGTTTATTCTGAGGGCTCCCCTGAGTCTATCACATACTCTTGTGAACGCCTGGTCTATGCTCACCAACACACACACCCTGCCTGTTTCGGACAGCTGCCACCGCATAGAGGACCATCAGGCCATCGGAGGGTTGATCTGATTAGTGCAAGGCCATTGAGGGTCCAGATGCCCAGCTTTCCGTGGGCATGAGGCCCTGGCTGCCAAGAAGGTGAATAAGTAACCGCATGAGTGGGCTAAAACCTCCTGCACCGCAGCGAGAGGCGTGGTAAGATTTCTGGGGGTTGATTTCACAATATGTATCAAAAGTCTTAAAAAGGAAATGAAAAACCATTTAAGAAATTCATACCTTTCGACTAAACTCTTCTACCTCCAGGACTTCATTTAAAAACTTTTTTGTGAATGTGGACAAAGCTGTGTAGTTTAAAATGATGGTGATTCAGATAAGGCATAAAGAGATTGGGGTAAAGAACCAAGAAAGAGAGATTGAGCATTTAGGACTGCAAGATACCTGAAGGTGAATTTTATAGTTTTTAGTTGAAAAACACTGTAATCATCCTAACTGTCCAACAATAGGCGATTTGACATAAGCAAATGATGAGGTATTTTGCAGTCATAAAAATGATATACGCAAATAACATTTAGTGACATAAGTCAAAAAGGCATTGCATAGAGTAAGATCCCATGTTTATTTAAAAGTGTATCTGTACAGAAAAAGGAATACCTGGATAAACATAAAATATTAACTCTGGAAGTCTGCCTTTGAGTGGTAAAATTAGCAATGATTTTGTCTTCTTTTGCATAACATTTTATAAATTGTCTTTAATGAAAATGTTTTACATTTGTAGGATTAAAAGCAATTTTTAAACCCTTATTATAAACACTTATTATTATCAGAATAAGTGGGACACTGAAAATTAGAAACGGTATTGAAATTTTCCTAAACCCAAAGCTAAGAGTGTCTGGATTACTCTGAGCAAGTCTGCCATGAACACATGAAATGCTTTAAACTTACCCAGTTCCTTGGAGTATCCTGTTTTCCTCTCTAACAAATAAGCAATCTTTTTTGTAGATATGCCATAAATTCTGAAGTTGTACCGGACCCCTGGTCTAAAGGCATCTAGAGAAGAAAAGTCAACAGAATTTCCATAACACAGAAGGACATTTTCTTTACTTCTGAAAAGGAAAACTGAATATTTGTCCCTTTAATAATTTCCTTCTTGAGGTTTATGCCCTTCATCTCCACCTTCTTCCCTTCTTCCGCTGAGCCCTGGGGTCCTCCATTGTTTCTGAGGAAGCCCGTGGGGACTGTCTCCTACATCGTCCTCACCAGGAAGAGCTCTCAAACACGCCCTTATCCCCATGCAGGAAATTGGTGCAGAATTCAACCAGACAGAGGAAACCATTTTAAATTCTCCTTTGACTCCAAATCCCCCTCCAGTGACTTGCCTTCTCTCTGCCCGTGAAAGCCACATGTCTGGAAGGATTTGCTTCTACTTCCTCACTTTCCCCTCACACCTCACCTCTGCAATCCACCTGCAGCGCTCGCCATGCTGCTGACCCTCCTCACCCAAGGACAACTGAATGCCCTCCAAGGGCCTCTCTCACTCTCTGGACCCAGATTAATTCTCACGTCTTTATCGTGATCCCAGCAGATGGCGCCACCAGGCCCGCCTCCCCCCAACCCCGCCCCTGCTCAAGCCACAAACCTAGGCTCCTTTGATTTTGCTAAAAGAGCAGTCTTGAAATAACAAATCCAATGTGCAAGGTTAAGAGATCAAGTTCTACACGTTCCATTGAAATTGAAGGAGTTGATGACCTACTCTCATCGATGCTATGTCCTAAACGCCTCCCAAATCCATAGACTTCTTTGCTTTTGTAAAAGCTCTCTGGACAACCGTTAGAATGTCCTCTGTCATTCATTTGAGACCACTAATTAAGAGGAACAAATTCATGAAAATAGCAAAACCCTATCCCAGCCTGAGGTCCAGATTTTCTCTGTCAAAGTAGATTTAAAGTCGAATCTCAGGCCATATCATTGCAAAATTTGAAATCCTAGCGCCCATGCTTGATTTCTAATTTCAAATTTTATGAATTTATTACAAAGTATCTTCGAGATGGTCCAGACATCTTTGTTGAACTTGCTGCAAGGTGGATGGAGCAAGAGTTAATATGGAAGGTTCTTCTTACCTGAGCTAATGATGGTGCTTGTGGTCTTGGGACCCAGGTTTTCCCACTGGAGGTCACAGGCCTGGTCCCGGGGATGGTCACACCAGTCCACGACGTAGCCTATGGCTTCTCCAGACTGGGGTTTCCAAGACATAAAGAACCCATCCTCTGTGCCTTGAACTCTTCCTTCTTTAACCTCTTCTGTACATTACAAATAGGGCAATGTTCCAGATTTAATTAATTGAACATTTTGTAAAAGTATTTAAAGAATAAACTTGAACATGCAGTGTATCCAACCAGACTCCGACCACTTCAGTCACTGCAGGGGCTTGGGGTGGCGGGTGGGATGTTTTCATAGGTGTTTTCCTGCCTCTCGCTTCCCACTAAATATTCACACCCACCCTGCAGATGCCCCTGTCCCGACCCCGACACCCAACCTAGGTGCCGCAGCACCTAGAACATGGGTCAGCAAACTACTGCCCGCAGGACAGCTCCGGACTCGGAGGCTTCTTTTTATAGGACCCTTGAGCTAAGAATGGTTTTAAGATTTTTAAAAACTTATAAAAAACCCAAACAAACAAAGAATTTGACTATGTAGTGGTGACTGTATGACCTGCAAAGCCGCAAATACTATCAGCCCCTTTACCAAAAAGTTGCTGACCCTTGACCTAAAACCATGTCTGGTACTTGATTTGCTTTCAAAAAATGACTATGTAATGAACAGATAACTCAGCTCACATCATGCTGGCTGCTCCCGAACTAACTACTGTTTCTGAGATGTTATAACGCCATAAGCAAGGTCTGAAAAATGTAACAGCAGCAACTGAAAGGTGACATTATTGCAAGGTTCATGAATGACCTTGGAGTGTCAGTCGTATGATGTTCAGGTGTGCATTGTCTCATAATGTGTTCTGCAGGGGTTTAGTGTATACAGACTCTTCACAGCTCTCCCAGCGAGGAAGTTAATATCACTACTGATTTTATGTGCCAGGTCATTTCCACCTCATCTGCTCTTCCACAGGCTAAGGGACTAGCCTAGCCAGCTGCCACCTTTTATTCTACAGCTTTGGCAAAGTCCCTCTTGAGATGATCTCTGGAAATGTTCCTGGGCCCTTCACAGGGGGCAATGAGTGACAAAATTTTTTACAATATAGTAAATGCAACTCTTACTTCATTTGCCACATTCATACATACTCTATCTCTCAGTTAAGTTTGTTGGTGTTTCATTTACTTCGGTAAGTTTGAGATAATTTCCCAAGTTTGTTAAAGAGTCCCCAGGGAAGAAATGTCCTGACCGATGGCTGAAATCTCATTCTTCCCACACTGAGGGGGACTGTCCCAGGAAACCCACTGACACACTCGGACCAAAAGAAAATGACGAACACTGTTTGGAAGCCAGACATTTTGTCCCCCCAAGTTGTTGTCTTTCCAATTTAAGCATCTCTACTTAATCACATTATCAACATTTTCCTAGAGAATAAAAATAAACAAAATGTAACTCACCGCTTCCAGAGTCTCTAGAGATGACAATTACAGAAGTGGGAGAAGTGCCCATACTGTTATTAGCTGTGACGTAGATTTGGTACGAGCCTTGGTCGAGGGTTAGTTCTGTGCCATTGGCCGGAGCGGGAATGGAGAGGAGCTTTAAACTGGATGGTTTCTCTAGATTTTCTATAACTACATTATAAAATAGAATCTTCCCACCAGCATGCAATTTTGACAGTGGCTGAAAAAAATTGATAATCATTTCAAAATGGGCTTTCCTCTGAAAGGGGTTTACATAATTACTTTTTCATCTTTCCTGTCCCTCAAATGCTTTACACACACACACACACACACACACACACACACACACACACACACACACACACACACACACAGAGCTAATTAAAACAGTTAAATAGAGAAAATAACCCCTAAACCAAGCTCAGCATCAGGCCTTCTTCTCTAAATAAGATGAGTAGAGATTCGGATCATTTGGAGGTGAGCTCCTTAAAAGCATAACGTGTCTAGAGAAGAGTGGCCAAGCCAGGAATCAGGAGGAAGAAGGACTTTAGCCTGGATTAAAATAAGATGCCGTGGGTACCCAGGGGAGGAAACATGCATGAACCCCAGCAGGAGGGCCCAGCTCCTGACCTCACTCCATCCTCCAGCTGTGTCTTCTCCAGGCCCAGAGCCCATGGTCCCCCCACCCCACCTCCCAGATGATCCTCCAGGTTGCAGAAATTCCCTGCTTACACGGTCCCAAAGCCACTTCCAGGGCCTGTCCATCAGGCCTGCCCTCCTGAGGACAGACGGTGGCCCCGGTATGCGCCCGCCCCAGAGAGACCTGAGAAAGGACTGGGAGTGACTGCTTGGGCTGTGGCCAGAACCTGGACATACAGACTGGTGTATCCACAAGTGTGCCCAGGGCTCCTTGCAGGGAAAGTCAGAGTGGAGGTGGGAAGAAAGCGGGGTGGGTTGTGGCTAGGACCCAACTCTCCCAGCATGGCCATGTTTTGGTGTCAAAAACAGGAACCAAGAGTTCTGAACACAAAGTAGAAGGATAACATATACTTTAAATTATAGTGTTTTTAGCTTGACTTTTAAATATGAGTATTTAAATATTTATAACTTTAAATATGGTATGTGCTCTACTTTATATTCGTGCCCTGAGCCTTGCAAAAGTTAGAGATGGGCCTGGGTAGAAGTTATGGAGACGCGAGTTCTAACAGTCAGAAGTGGCCATCTCTGTAGTCGAGGAAGGAACAGTGCAAGTCTTAGGGACATGGATGTGGCACAGGGACTCCTCCACTGGGCAAGACATTCTACCGTATTCATGTGAAGGACACCCCCAGTTGGAAGGCTACACCCAAATCCAGTCTCACAGTGAGACGCAGGGCCAAGCAAATGAGTCTTTTTGAATAGGAACATCTTACCCTCCAGAATAAAGTTACTGTACAAGATCCCAGCACTGACTTCACATTTCTCCAGACATCAAGAGCCTTGGAGGGAGCTGAAATTAACCAAAGAAAAGTTGTCAGGTCACAATAAGTAAAATAGTACATTCTAACTTCTGTTTCTGTCGAAGAAGTGACGATGAGCATCCTTTTTTCCTTTTTTTTCTTTTTTAATTTTTAGGTGAGGCAACCCTTGGTTGACCTCACAGATTGCAAGGACCTTGTCAGCTTATGATCCTTTTTTTTTTTTTAATTTTTACACCTACAGCACCTGGTCTTCCTAGGTGGTCTCCCATCCAAGTACTAACCAGGCCCGACCTTGCTTAGCTTCCGAGATCAGATGGGGTCAGGCACATTCAGGATAGCATGGCCATTTACACAATGAGCATCCTTGAGGCCTCTCATTTTTTCACTCTCTGTGACTTCTAACCATCTTGCATGGTCACACTGTTCATGCCTCACTAGGTGCACATAGTAGGTGCTTTACAAAAAGTCTGCAGTATCTGGACGGGACACCGAACTTAAAGTCCTTTATGAACATCAAGCCTCAGAGCTTCTGGAAGCCACCCACAAATTTTGGAATCACTCGTCAGACCAATGCTAGTAAGTTAGTTAGGTAAACCTCCATGTCTCGAGCAGTAGCAGACCACTGCTACTTCCTTGCCCCATTTGCAAAGGTTGCAATGGAAGCACACAGAGACATCTCCGGGCAGGCTGCGCTTCTCCACGCATCTCACACTGGCTGGCCCTTCGCTGGAGTCAGAGCCTGGGAGCGTCGCCTTGTCCCCCTCTGTTGGGAAGGCCACATCCTTCTGCCACCAGCTCCCAGCCTGAGCTGGGTCAGCTGCCTGTGGACAATCACAGCATGTTCCTTCCAACATGGCTCTGACCACACTGTTCTGGAAGAGTCTGCTTCCTTGTCTTTTTCAACAGTAAACTGTAGGACAAGGGATTTGTGCTTTGATTCAAAACATCTCTATGCAAGAGCTGTTTTTGGAACATAACACATAAAGATTTTAACTCTCTGTTTTATAAAAATATAGTTTACTGCCCCTAATAACTGAAATTTAACTAAGTCCTTTTTCCTTTTAGCTGCTGCGACTTTCTTCTCAACTTAAAGGTGACCATATATAGTTTTAAATCTATTGAAGATTTCAATATGCTAAAGAAACCATTGGAGAAGTCAATATTAAATCAAAAACTTATTGAAATATTCGGGCACAATATGGGACCCCAAGCTCAATGCAAAATTTTCAGCTGGTTTGTAAATTAGTAAAAGACCACTGTAGCCCAGTTGACAACGCTCTATATTTATGTCAATATAATTTCTACCGTGGTATCATTTAACTCTGCTCACTCTGATTATACTTAAGTATGGTTATACTACACAGAAACACTGAGTTTTCTAGTATTAAGTAAAATGTTATCAGAGATTAAAAAAAAAACAAAAACAAACTATAAATTTGCCATCAGTAGATTCATCTTGTTTCCTTGTTATCATCAAAAGCAAAGTTAAGTATTTTCAGGTTTATAATACTATAATCTAAAAGAAACACAATTTACTAAGACTCTATTCTTTTGCCATTTTCTTTCTGCACTTAATTTTAATTACAATGTTGGAATAAGTTTGCAAGAAAACAAGGGGAGAAAATACCAAAGCAAAGCAGTATTATTAAAGTGAAGATTCTTTAATAAAACACAACTGAGGAATATGCCATATTACTCTCGGGAACAGGGCTTTCTGCAGTGGGGACCCCTGAGGAGTCCGCCCCCCTAGAAGAAACCACTGGAGTCTCAGGGGGTGTGAGGGTGGCAGGAACACCAGACAAAGCGAGGAGGCCTGCTGAGTGTGGCCAGCGACCAATCCCAGGTGTAGATTCTGATGCACTTTTCCCCCCAGCCCCCCCACCCCCATTAAAGTCCCTGCTTTAAAATGGTCTCTCTCCAGTGAAACGGAAAGAGCTCTGTAAGCCCACTAACACAAATAACAAGATGGAATGAAATAAATACATATAATCCTTCCTTCAGCAGTAAAATAGCCAGGACTTGAATCAACAAGATCTCAAGATCGTAAAAACAACACTAAGAGACAGAATGCACAGAATCCAGCTCTGATTAACAGCGGCGCTTTGGAGTCAGACTGCCTGGGTGTGAGCTGCAATCACTGCCCACTCGTTCACTGACTAGGCCAGTTAAATTACTTATCCTCTGTGCCTCAACGCCCTCATCTATAAAGTGAGGATGATAAGCGTACCTACTGCATGTTGTGAGGGTTAAAGGAGAAAAATTGTGAGCACTTAGAGCTGTGTGTGGCACATACTAAATACTCAATAAATGTTAGCTATTATTGTTGTTGTTGTTATTATTATTATTATTATGTTTCTGCCATTCATTAACTTTGCAAACTAGCCAAGTCTCTTCAATTTATGGGCTCGAGTTACTTCATTTGTAAACTGGGCCATGGTAATACTTTATAATCTTGAAACGAAAGGAGATGAAAACAAGGGAAGGCCATCAAACCTCCTGAGGCTTGTTTGAGCTCTAAGACATAGTTATTTGAAAGAAAAACTCTCTATTCTATCAATATTGAGGAAACGACTACTGAGAACACGACAGAGTGGGCTCCCAGCTTGCCGTTGCTGCACAAATGACTTATCAATAAGAACTAGGTTTCCAAATATCATTAAATTTCCAGACATAGCCTAAAGTTGTTTGGCATGAGATCGAAGCTTTCCTTGGCATAAACACTGTTTATCCCCAGTCCCAAATTAAAAGTCTCTATTAATTTACAGAGCCCCAATCCAATGAGAATCTAGCAATGCCAGCAGCTTAGAAACCATCTTGGCAAAATAAAAGATCAGAGAGAAAATTAAAGTAGAAATAACACTGATGGCAAATGTATGAAATGGATGTCTTTCCACTCACATCTCATTAACCATTTAATTCCGTTTTTTGTTTTTGTTTTTTAATATAGTACCAAGCCTCTGTTATAATGTTTTCCCTTTTGATTTTGGTACAACCAAGAGCTCTTAGGGAAGCCAATCCATCTTCCATGAGTCAGTTTAGATCCCTGAGTTAAGTGTCAGGGTCTGAACACACCTGCTTCAAGTGTGCTAAAGTTTTGACCAATCCATTCACTCCATTTCCAGAAGTGGTTAGCAGCGGCACAGCGTACTCGGGTCATATACTCTGTGACAGGCTCCAGTTCACTTAAGAAGTACTGACCATTCATCTCAATGGACACATTGTGCTGCTTGATAAAAAAGACAGAAGTATTAGTGAGCATACTTCATTGCCAAGTCAAATCGCAACATGACACATCTTGATTTGGGGTAAGAGTAGTTCTTCCTTGGGAAAAAAAAATCTCTAAGGTGCCCTTCTCAACTCTCAAAGTCTATGATGTATTTCATGGACCTTTTTAAAGCTTTAAAACCCACACCATTTGAACTCATACAGAAATAAGAGTTTAGAGAGATTTTACTCATCAGTCTTTTTGTTCTAGACATAAAGAGAATAGAATATTAAGCAGTGTCCTTACTTGTATCACTTTTCCTTCACCATGGAGTTCAATCTGACACAAAAATGTGAAATTATTCCCAATGGAGTGTACCTTCCAGGTCATGCTGGCGTTTGTGGCACTTATATTTTCAAGGACTACATTAAAGGGAGTCATTGGATGAACTGCAAAAAAAAAAAAAAAGATGAGAAACAAAGTAAAAATATTCAAGCATAGATAGAAAAGACTTTGGCAAACAGGCAGTTCATTTCGACATTTATTTATTCAATAAGTATTTTTTTGTTTTTGAGAAAATAGCAAACAAAACCAGACTTACAGCCAGGATAGAGTAAGCCAAGTACAGCCTTTCTCTCTCATGGATTGTATTAAAAACTCTAAACAAAATACAACAAAAAAAATTACCTGTAAACTCTTAAAATTAAGCAAAAGCAGGCAGATCATGGCAGGGAGTCAAAACTTGGAGGAGTGGCTCATGGGGAGAATATAACAGAACCCAGAGTCTAATCAAAATAGAATTCCCAAATTTGAAGTATTACTGAACCAACATTGAATTGACCTTTTTAAAAAATTTTTTCATCAGTCCTCCTAACACCTGGCACAGTAGTAGAAGTGAGTGGCAGAAACGGGTAATTGCAGTCTCAGATTTCTGGCTGGAGGAAAAAAAAGAGTTCTAGAAAGGCAAAAAGTACCAGAGACATCATGGAGAAGCAGGAGCTCGGGAAGGTGACCCATAAAGTTGTTTACAAACTCTTATGCTCACCTCCCAGTTGTGTATGTATGGATTTGATCTTAATCTGTGTACCAAAGACTTTGAGAACCCAACCGACAGACCGCTGCCCGTGTCTCAAGACTCTCCACTGGGAGGGTCTAGAACAGATCTGAAGAGTACTGCAAAGGCTTTGAAAACTGAACTGACATTGAAATCACAGCCCACAAAAGTTGGGTTGAAATTTGCAGCTTGAACCTAATCGGGTCACTTGTCTACGAAAACAAAACTGTCAATATAAACACCCAGAGTCTTACAACATAATATTCAAGATTTCTAGGATGAAATCCAAAATTGCTCAGCATACAAAGAATCAGGAAAATCTCAACTCACATGGGAAAAGACAATCAACAACTGCGAACAAGAAGATGATACAAATGTTGGAATTATCCATCAAAGACTTTTAAACAACTATTATAAAATGTTCCAAGTAACAATCACAAACATTTTCAAAACATATGGAAAATACAAAGTCTCAGCAAAGAGACAGAAAGTAAGAATAAGATGAAAATTTTAGACTGAAAAGTACAATAAGAAAATGGAAAACTCATTGGGTAGAATGAGCAACACACACAATTTAAATCTGTAATTATCTTGACAGGGGGAGCAAGATGGGGGCTGTGGGATGGGAGATGGAATAAGTTATTGTCAAAATTCTAGTTTTGAAGTTGAATAGTAAGCTCAGTGATGCTTATTACATTATCAAAGCAAACAAATTGTAGGGGACTATTGGCCACACATGCCTCCATGAAGAGAAATGCGGCATGAACAAGAGTTATAAATTATAACTTTCACGTAAGGTGCAAATTAGGCAAGAATCTGCAGCACATCTACTTGATCGCCCAGTGTGTCAATCAAAGAGATGTTAACATCCACAGTGGCCTGCGAAGCCAGTCTCACCTCGATGAGTCAGGTTAAAAGAAATATTGACACTTCTACTTCTTAAGTAGTTTTCAGCCAGGAGTGTGAAGTTATACGTTTCTTGTGAGTCTCGAGCTACTTGCCAAGTACACCAGTTTCTGTGTTCACAAACTTTCTTTTTCCCAGAAAATCTGAAAAACAAAACAAAAAACAATAATTTCAGGGTTTATACTTTTGTCAACGCAGATGTGTATCCCTGTCTCCCTCAGGGCACACTCAGTGGCTTTAAAACTATGTTCCACACAATAGCATCCATCCATCACCAACAAACGCTGAAATGGAGAAGTTTCGACAAGTTTAATTTATGTAATGACGAATCACTGACTCCCTCTTGTGGGTGGTGAGAACTCTCCTTAATTTATTCTGGATATGGTAAAAAGTTAGAAATGATGAAACTGTTATTGAAAAACATGAAACTATTTTCACATCAAGACTAACCATTAACTGTTTGTCTTAGCACTTTTATGCTACCTTTTCCTTTAACGAAACACACAAGTATTACACACTTGTGACCAGCTAAAGATCTCCTTCTAACAGTGGCAGGTGGTTTTAAAACATTTGTTCAAATTTTCTGCAACATCTAAATGTGGCTTTTGTTATGTTGTCACAAGCAGCTTAAACAAGGAAGAATCTGTCAATAACATAACCAGAGCTAACTCACGATTCAAATAAACTGTAGCTTTGGAAAGAATATTTAGGCAAGCCAGTGTCAGTCCCAGGATCCCAAGCACACTTCAAAGTCTTGAAGTCCCGGGTTTCACAAGAAAAGTCCTTGGGCTCCTCAAGTACTTCTGTCCATACAAAGAAAAGCAGACAAAAGAGCTAGTTAAAACCCTTTATTGGAAAAACAAGTAAAATGGAAAGCTCCGTTTGGGGTCTGAGGCCACAGAGTTCCTCTGAACAACGAAAGGATCACTTAAATGGAAGCCTATATATTAGCAGCTCCAAGAAGCCACATTTCAGGTGCTTCATCATCTTGGTCCCTGCTCCTTCCTTCCCTTGTGCTTTTCTGGGGTATCGTGGTAGATGGGTGATCAGTGTTCTGCAAGTCAGTACTGAGTCTATTTGATGAACCTTGTGTCCCCAGAGCCTGCTAGTAGGCACTCAACAAGTATTACCAAATAACAGACCAAGTGAGTGAAAGAATGAATGAATAGAGTCAGTGTTGCCTGGTGTTTCATTTCAGATGCTGAGGCTTAGAGAGAGGCCAGGGGGCTATGCTTGGGATGCCAGGAAATCAGATTTGGGGAACCTGCTAAAGTCAGCAGTTGGGAGCTGAGAGTTCCAAGGAATGATGCAGCATCTCCAAGTCCCCTGAGTCACCCTGTTCTTAGAGGCCATTCCAAGGAGCACAAAGGAACCAAGTGTCCTAGAGCCCAGAGATGTCCACTACACAATCTCCAATTGTACTTTGTCGGGGGAACAGGGAGGGCAGAGTTGCAGATTTTGCCCTTCTGTGCAGAGAAGGGCGGTCTCAAGATGAAACACAAGAAGCCACTGGGTATGCGCACACAGACCTACATAAAACGTAATTTCCCTCTCCACTGCTACCACCCATGGAGGCCCTGAAATTTCCACAGCCAGTTAAGAACAGCAATGGCGTCATCTGCTGAACTCCTACTATGTGCAGCTCTTGTACCAGGGCCAGGACCTGTCCACATTCATTAACCCTCATGACAGCCATCATCATCCCATCACAGAGGCAAAAATCAGCTCAGAAAGGCCAGGAAACTTGGCCAAGAAACTTGGGCCAGGAAACTTGGCACGGGAAGAAGACTCAACCCCCGGTCCTCCAGACCACAACCGTGGCGGCCTCCCTGTCTTCCGACCTGCGGCCTCTCCTCCCCGCTCAATCCTGTGGTAATTCCAGCATAGCTAAGGCAAAGCAGGATATTTTCCCCGTGGTCCAGGTCATGACCTGAACTTTCTCCCCTTTAACACTTTTGGTTTCTAGGACTACAGTTGTCAGTAAGGACAAGAAGACAACAGGAAATCCTGGAAGTATTGCTTCAGAGTATCTTATCCTGAGTCTCTCCTAGAAGGTTTGGGAAACCAAAGAAAATTGAGACCATGCGTGGAAATGTTTACTTGTTTTCTGGTAAAGGAAGTTCCATCTATTCCTTAGGAAACAGGAAAAGAGGGTGCAGAGAACGTGCATACTTACTTGAGACAAAGAGAACGATGCCTTTTATAACATCACTTTCGTTCACCTTACAAAAGAAATTCGTCCCCCTTTTCCTAATGAAAGGAACATTATTCAAGTTGAACACAGACACATTTGGATCAAGTTGTTCTCCATATATCTGTACATCTTCCAAATAACAGGATATGTTATTTCGAGGGCTCCTGGAAATGTAACAAATGGTGACATTGGAGCCTTCTTCTACCAGCTTATCTTTAGGGAAAACGAACAGTGGATCATGTCCAAGAGAATTCTGAACTACAAGATAAGAAAAGAGCTTAGTTAGAATCTCACTCAAAATTCAAACCAGCCACCTCTCATATCTCTCTTTCAACAGATAACTTTAGCTTCTTCTACCTCCTAGAGAAAATAGAAGCCTAAATTTCTACAGCCAACCTATAAACTTTAAAGCATGCAAAACAATCCTTTGCACTCTCTCTCCTATTATTATGCTAATACTGCTGTTACTGTTCTTACTTCCGTTACTGTGACTACTATGGGACCACTGAGGGTTATTGTGTCATTGCTGGTGTTAGGTTATTATGACAACAGTAGCTGCCCTATTGATCCTAGCCATGTGGAAGGCCCTGTGTTAAGTGGAATTGTCCATTATCTCATGCCATCCTTACCCCCTCACAACCATGGCACAGGTAGGACTGAGACCAATTTCACTCAAATGGCAAAGCCACAGTCACACCTGCCAGGTCTGCCCAGCTCCAAAGCCATGTGTCCTGCACAGTCTCTAAATTGTCCTGTAGATCACATTTCCTCCCACCTTCTCAGAAATGCCAGCCATTCACGTATCTTCTTTTGCTTCAGCCTCTCCTTCTGTATGGCTCATCAGCATATACAAATCCTCAGGTCTTTTCCATTTTAAGCAGACTCACCATCCTCCCCTCATGCATGCCTCCTGTCACCTCTCCAACCACCCCTCCCCAGCCAGCTTCCCTGAAGGAGCTGCCATCACTTGAGTTTCACCACTCAGCCCACTGCAGTCTGGCTGCTGGCCACCAGGTCACTAAAATTCCCATCACCAATATGATGTCACTCATGCAGAGTGGCCCGGGCATGGGAATTTTTTTAAGGTCCCCGAGTGATTCTAATGTGCAACCATGGTTGAGAACCAGTGCTTTGGGGGATAGGAATAATCAGATTTTCCATTTATTCTTGAGTTAGCCTGAAGGTTACAGTTTTGAGAAATCTAGTCTATTTTTATCCAAGTTGTTTATAACATTGTTCTTTATTTCTCATTACTATCTTTTTCATCTCTATTTTGTCTGTGAATATGTCCCTTCTTCAGCAGTAGGTTGTAATGTTAAGAGCATGGTCTCTGGAGCTAGGTTATCCTGGCTGGGATTCTGCCTTTGACACTTAGTGGTCTGAGAGGTTCTTTAACTCTCCTATGAAATAGGAATAAAATTACTACATATTTCGCAGGGCTGGTGTAAAGACTAAATTAATATGTATACTGTCTAAAACAGTGACTAGAATGTAGATTTAATTCTACTTCTAGTATTAAACTAATGCCTAGGCTATTCATGGGTTAATGTGTTATCAGTTTGAGTTACTAAATAAATTGGTGTAAACACTTAACAAAGAAATGGTTCTACTGGCAGGAATTTCAGATAATCTGGCAGAAAAATAAATGCCATTGGCCTATAGTTTAGCTGACACATAAGAAATGGTGGCAAAACTCACTCTGAATTTTAGTTACAACAAAATTAAATTCTCAAAATTAATAGATATTAAAAACATATTTATCCGTAATCTCATTACTCAAAAAACTGCTTTCATTTTTCCATATATATCTACCTCTCTCTGCATTACGGATTATTGGCAAACTGTGACCGATGGGCCGATTCTAACCCACCATCTGTTTTTGTAAATAAAGTGTCGTTGGAACACAGCCACTCTGATTATTGCCTGTGACTGCTTCCGTGCTACGATGGCAGAGTTGAATTGTCATGACAGAGACTGAAAAGTCTAAAATATTTCTGTCTCACCTTTTACAGAAAAAGCTTCCCAACTCCTGCTCTGGATACATACACGTTTTGTGTGTTGATCTAATAAAAACATATGTACAACTTATGTCCTGCTTTGTTCACTTAGCATGCTATAATGAACACACTTCACATGTTTGGAAAATATGTAAAAATTGTCTGGATTTACACAATAACTCAATGAATAATTCAGAGGCCAAACCTGAGATGTCAGCCTCTTGGTGGCAAGTTTCACACCCATGATTTTTAGTTCCAATGTGAGCCAAAGGAAAATAACGTTGGTGTCTACCAGTTCCTCAAAGGGGACTTCTGCTATTTGACTCTTTGATCCTTGAATAACATTAAACATTAAATCCTTTCACTCTCTTATCACCTCTTTTCTTACCATCGACTTCCTCCCATGAAGTCCAGCTGCTCCAGAACCTCGGCTCAGGGACCCTGGCATCATCCACCGTACTCCTCACTCTCACGAAGTGCGTCGCACACTCCAAAGGGAGCTCAGATTCCCAGCTCCACTGCAGAACTTGGTCCCACTTCACAATGGTGCTATACTTCTCCTAGCAGTAAAGAGGAAAATTTGAAAACATAGCCATGCCGTTCTGGAAACTGGCTTGACGAGACCGATCCCAAAGCACACACCCACTGCAATGCCACCCTATGTGGAAGCGTGGTCCATTCCCAACCAGCCAGCTCCCCGGGCGTCGATGCTTCAGCAAGGAACCAGCCGTAGCCTCATGCTTGGAAAAACTCAGCTCTCACTCCCTCTGGCCTTCCAATTCTGGGAGATTCATGCGGAACAAGAGAGAAAAAAATGGGAGCTACTCAAGTCTTGAGGAAGAGATCAGAGATAGAAGGTGCTCACAGTGCTGGTCACATAGAACCTGGTAAGAAAATTCTTGCAAACTACAGAATTAATTGAGTCATCTTTTTAAAAATAAGTGATTGATGAGTATGGTTTTATATTCATTTTTAGCCAGGGCCAGATCAGGTTGGCCAAATCTCAGCAGAGAAGGCAATCCTTCCTGGTGCCGGGGAGTCCCATTGTCTCCCAGAAGTCAACAGATGGCTGTCCATGTCTCCCGTGGCTTTTGTCTCTTGCCCTTTCAGATATGGTGGCCATGTAGACCATACCCCCTCCCTTGAGGTCCATATATAAGAATTTTTAGTCCCTAGAGATGTCAATCACATGGGAATGTCTCATTCTGTTTTTTGGGATGCTCGTCCAAGTTGAACTGCAATTTGGTCTTCTGGCGCAGCTTTTTAGTCTTATTCTTTCTAAGACCCTGGTATTTTCATTCTCTAATTCAATAAGCTTCAATGGCTCCTCTACACCTTACCCTGTCATTCATCGACATCTGCAAATGTGCTCTCCAGACACAGTGGTCTACCACACACTCCTGGAAATAACTTGATGCTTTTCCATCACAGTGTTTTCTCGCACAGTGTCTCTGGTTTAGTGACTCCACTCTCCTTCTGCATTGGGAATTAGTCCCATCCTTCAAGCCCAGGCTGTATCCCCTTCATGAAGTCTTTCTTGTTCTTTCCTCTGAGTTCCTCTCATTCCCCTATTCCTGAAGCCCTCCCGTATAGTGTGTATAGTTGTTGGCATGTCTTTTGTGACTGTGTTCCTGACTCAATGATGGTCAATGGCAAGTCTCACAGTGAAGAGGGATGGGGCAACATGCATGTCACACACAGCCTGGAGCTGGCAAACTCTGAGGCCTTTCTTCCACTTACACCTTTCCCTTTCCCAGGTTGCTAACCTTAAACAGTGCCCATGGCAGGACCAAATACAGCTCTAGAGTGAGAGCACCTTAGTCTACTTGGGCGGCACCGAACCATGCATGCCCTTTTGCACTCTATGCAGAACTGTGATTTATAAAACATTATCCTTTATTTTAATTTACTGAATTGCTTAATTTCTAGATTACAAAACGTATCTTGTTAACTACAAATTCTGAGGTCCTAATTCATGCAACTTTCACTATTTAATCTGAGCAATCTCTAGTACATTTAGCTTAAGTATGATTCAATTTAAGAGCCAATACCAAAAAAACGAACTATATATCAAAAACGGTGAACTTTTTATAATATCAATGAGCCACACACTGGGTTTAACCTCCTACATCTCTCTTGAATTTGGCCACTTTTCTTGTCCCCAGTATTGCCACCCACTCCAGGGACCTCTCCCACAGCCTGCTTGGACCAATCCCACAGCCTGCTTCATACTAGTCGCCCTTCACCTTCCCCAGGTCCCCCAATTCTTCTCCACTGTGCAGCCAGAGTGGGCTTCTTAAAAACTCCCAACCAAATCCCGTCACTCCCCTTCTTACCAATCTCAGGATAAAAAACATATTTTGGCTCAAATAAAATATGCTGGAGATGCTGGAGAAGGTCAGGCCTAACCCCGACCCCAACCCCACAGCCCCTCACCAGGGACCTGCACCACACCTCTCACATTCAGGGTACCCTTATTTGTGTGTTTATCTCCTCAGAGAACCACGCCTTGTACAATGCCCAGATCCGGGCCCACGGTCTAAAATTATGTGCTGAATGATTTCGTCAGTTCATTAACATGCAGTGGGCTCTATTTTTCTCAGATACTGATTGTGTGGCATCATCTGTCTAACCACAACTTGTGCCTTGTGGTGTTTATGGCCTTGTAATGGAGAAGAGAAAACTTTCCTTGAATATCAATTCAGTGATTTTTTTTTTTTAATGTGATGAATTGTGTTTGGGCTGTTTTTATTAATTGAAGTGGCAAATTTAATTTGGCCCAGAAGACATGGTAAGTCACAAGAAACGGGCACCTACATTTACACAGAGGTCTAACAGAGGTCACTGATTCAGTCTTTAGGCATGAGCTTATCCCTGACTGACTCGCATTGCAGGCCTTCCAAACTTGAGCTGTTACTATATTCTGCCTTCTCCTATATGAGCTTATCCCTGACTGACTCGCATTGCAGGCCTCCTTCCAAGCATGAGCTGTTACTATATTCTGCCTTCTCCTACCTCTGACAAACCATAAAGCAAGTGGCTGAAGAGGCCGAAGTCAGAACCTGGTCCAGGGCGAGAGCAGGTATTGTGGCTGCCAGCAAGGCTCTGAGTGGCTGGCACTGTTCAGGAGGCAGCTCAGCATCCCTGGTCCAGCTGCAAGCCATTGGATCAAAATGCTTTTCCTTTGGCTTGTTTGGGAACACAATCGTCCATGAGTCTAGAGAGCTGCTACCTCTCGGCATGATTGAGGAGGATGCCCTGCCAGGCTTGCATTACAGGGAACTACCCAATGAAAGGGAGATTATGGTCTAGACAGAAGCAGCCTCTCTCAGCTAGCATCCTTCCCCTTAACTGGAGGGGACCTTATGTCTCCCCTCAGCTTCAATCCTTAGTGGTTCATACAAGGGCTTCTCATTGCGTCATTTATCCTGGGACTTGGCCACTGTTGACCCAGGAAGGTTGCATGTGGCCATCACCCCCGTCTAGGTGTGGAGTGAAGGATGATACCGCCCTAGCTCTGTCCCCTTGAGCCGCACAACAAACTCTGTGCCTTGGTCTTCTCCTCTGTTGGGGTCAGGCAGGGCTGGGTGTTATGGGGATGATACAACGGACATTGCAAAATTCTACTTTTGAAGATCTTGAGCCTCAGGAGTTTACAGAAGTAGGTTCTTTACTTTGAAAAGAGACCTGTTAAATGAATCCAACATGAAAATAGATATGAACAACTGCCTGTTAGAAAAATAAAGAATGGGACCCACTTGGTCTATGGCAATCATTATCTTCCCTAACATGATAACAGGAAGAACTGCCTTTTAGAAAATAAAGAGTGAGACCCATCGGTCTGTGGTCAATGTCACTTTTACTGATGGTGTCAAGTTCCTCCAGTGCTTCTCTCAATTTTTTTTAGACAATTCTTAGCCTCACTATGACCTTTGCTCAATGTTTACTATGTTCAAATCAACAACCAGTGTATTCATCAAAAATACAAAGAATATGAAAATAAAAAAAAATATTAGTAGGAGGTAGGATAATGGGATACTGATGGTGGAAGGTGGACAGCTGTCCACAGACATTGTTATTGTTGAAAATCAGAAAACCACACAACTGTCATTGTGGGGAACTGCCATTTGAGGGAGGTCCCCAGCAATGACACAAACTTGTGTTTCTCTTTCTTCTAGGCAAATCCTCCATTCCCCTTCAATGAGAAAACATTCCACTGTCCGTCAAAATCCCACCATAATGAGTGAACAGGATGTGTGTAAAGATTATTAAGGTTCCCCAGTCTATAAATGGTATTGAGAGAAACCACCACATTGTCCCAACGTACTAGATGGGGAAACATCAAGCAAAACAGACACAACCATGATTGGAATCAAGACAAAAGAAAAATCTATCTCAAATAATTCAAAGGCAAAAGCGTATGACATTAGGATTTTCTTAATTTAATTTGTTATAGAAAAAGCCACATGTGAGGCAACAAAGAACACCGGAAGTCCCTCTCCAACATGGTCCATGAAGAAGCTGTTTGCTGGCTAGAACATTAAAGTGCTAGGAGTCATTTATCCTTGCATTTCAGCACAGTATAAGCAAAGACACTGACTGGAAGCCATGCTGGCAAGAAAAATGATGCCAAACTATTAAGTCTAATTTAGGAAACTCTCTGGTGGGCAAGGAAGAAAGAAGGAAGAGAAATAAGATGGTTGATCTTCATGGAATTTTGAAGTAAGTACTCACAGGTTCAGACCCAACAGCCTTCTTAGGGGCAGAGCAGAACTGAAGTAACCTCTATTTTCGTAAAACATCCTACCCAACTTACCAAATCAAAGCTGTCATGTTACTTTGTCTTGGATCCTCTTAACTAAAAACACAGAAATGCAATCGTATAAGAAAACCGTTTTGTGTTGCTAAAATGTTTTCCATACTGGGATTTTTTTGGAGGTTATAAAAGATAAATCATGGCACCAGACAATTTTTCTAAATCTACAGAAAAAAACTTACCGCCCAGATGACATTGGATGTTTTAATTCTGCTGATCTCTATCTGAAAAGTCATTTTTAATTCCTGATGATAAGTAAGGCTGTGGATACGCCATTGTAAATGCAAACATTGCTGTGTAGAATTGATGGAAACTTTCAGTGACTCAGGGGTCAATAGCAAAGGTTCAGATAAGACTAAAAGAGCAAAACAAGATATGAAATAACATTTAGTAGGAGTATAAGTGAATAGTCACAGATAACTTCTGTTCAATGTCATCACTGTTTAGGTTTGAAAAAATTAGTCCCATGTGCATTCTAAAATCAGACGCCTTCAAAAGCTAAAAGAGAATTTAGAAATCACTTGGCACATGAAGAAATTAAGACCTAGATGAATGAAATGACTTATTCAACAAGACACAGCAAGTTAATCAATTGCTAAACCATTAAACAAACAATACAAACAATAATGAAGTTAAACAAATGTAAATTTAAATTATTAAACAATGAGATAATAAAGGACACTTTATTGGATAATATAACTGGTTTAGAAATTTATAGCAAGGCTGAATAAAGAAACAGGACTTTTAGCTGTACATTTCATATTTCTGGAAATCAAAAGTGAAATATTTCTTTTTGAAAGTCAATATTTCATTGTTTATTAAATAGCTATTAAGTACGAGCACATCCCATCTCTAGACATGGTGCAAAGATTGAAAAGATTAAGACTGTATTGATAAAACCAACTGGTATCTGATGGTCCGTCGTATAGCAGACATCATCTTCTAAACATTCATTTTTCTAACTGAAAGGACATTTGGAAAGATGAAAGAGCAGGTCCCTTATGGAATAGGGGAAAATATTTCTAATAAGTGCAGAAACAATAGCACTGGAGAAAACAAGGTGCATGCAAAACCATCCCATCTTTCCTTGCCCCCATTTCATTTTGCCTGTATGGTAGTTTGTTGCTGTCAGTCTCACTCTACATTCAAATTTCCTGGAGGACAGGGTTGAGGCCTGTACATCTTTGAATGGACTCTTGTCGCCAGCATGTCTTACCTATAGCAAATGTTGATTTCAAATGCTGATCTCCATGAGGTCTTAAGTGCCTGACAAGCAACTCCTCACTAAAACCTTAAGTTGTTGTTCCTGACATTCTCTTCTCCCTGTGGCTGTTTTTCTAAGCTCTTGTTTGAGCACTGATTACCGCATGCTGCAATAATCTGTTCTGCGTTTGTCTCCCTGCAAACTGTGAGCTAAACAAGGGTGACTCTTATTTAGCTCAGTGAAACTAAGACCAGTAACACACCTGTCAGAGCACTCAGTGACTGGTTGCCGAATGAATGAGTCAACTACCAGTGTCAGCTTTATTTCTAGAAACTCTAGAAAGCTGCTGTATGATGCTTTAGATAAAAGGGGAACTCTGGACACTGACTTATGCTATCAGCAAGTGTTGAGTGACTCAGGTACTTGAGAGACATCAGTCAGTCAAAAATAACATGGTCTAGAGAAATCTAAAACTTCCTTGGGAAACAGTGGGAAATTCCAAGCTAAAGTCAGACAGCCAAAGGGACCTTTGAGATTATTAAGTCTAATCCCATTATTTTTCAGATGAGGATACTGAGGCTAGAAGAAGGAAAGTGACTTTCCCAAGGTTACACAACTAGACCAGACCCAGGGCTCTTGGCCCTTGGCCCAGCTCTCTTTCTATTATGTTGTACTGGAGTGTTGCCAAAAAAAGGCAGTACTGCCAGAATAAGATTGACCTGGATTTAGTCACAGCCTCTCCTTGGACTTTCTCCACCCTGTTTCTCTCTTTCCCGAACTCCAGTCCATTCATAAGATGGACTACCACACAGCCACTAAATACAATGCTATTTCTAGAAGAACATTTAACATCAAAGTTAAAAACTCTCATTGTATGTTGTATTAATTGTTTTAATAAGTATATATTAAAGTATCTATATATGCTTTAATTATACTATATTAAAGTCTTTATGGTATATGTAGTATATTTTCCAATGACATATATTTTATACTAGCTATACTTTAATAAGTATTTATACTTATGCTAAGTATATATACTTTAATAAGTATACACACACACACACACACACACACACACACACTTAAGTATAAATATAGGTGTATTTTGGTATATGTAGTATATTTTCCAATGACATATATTTTATACTAGCTATACTTTAATAAGTATTTATACTTATGCTAAGTATATATACTTTAATAAGTATACACACACACACACACACACACACACACACACACTTAAGTATAAATATAACCGGTGTATATATTATAACTTCACTTCTATAAAAAAACCACGTATTTACATCTTTATCTCCCTTTATATGTATATACATACAAGAGACTGAAAGAAAATACCTCCAAATGCTATAGTCATGAACTCTGGCTGATAAGAGACCTGAGCCCAGGGCTAACTGGAAGTGGGCCTTGGCTCTGCCTCATTAGTCAGAAGAAGCTAGGTTATCTGAAATGAAGTCTCAGACATGAGCCTGGCTGGATGGTCCAGTGGAAGGATCACTAGCTTCAGTGGAGAGGTTTAGTGGGTATTTGGTCACATGCAGCAGAAACTGAGACAAGAAATCCAAGCGGTGCAGGTGAAGACAAAGACAGGATTACTTAGCAAAGCAGGCATGCTTGGCTGAAAAAGCTGGAGGCAGAAACAAGGACTTGGGGAGAGAAAAACAGGTTTTTACATGTCTGATTTAAACAAAAAGAGCTGAAAAGCGAAGCAGACTGTCTTATAAGTAGAAGGTACTCAGTAAGTAGTTGTTGAGTCAGATAATGAGACTTTACTAGGGAAGTGAGCTGTGCTAACAGCTTCGTATAATGCCTGGGGTTTTCTGAAAAGCCTGATGTTGAGGCTACAAGTCTCTCTGGGAATTGGGAGCTCTAGCTGGGCCTAAACATTTTTATGGTATAGACTACCCACTCAGCCTAGCTGTGTCATGTTCAGGTATTAGTAAGAGAGAAAGAGGGAGGGTCATACATACTACAAATGAGAAATCCTAATTTCCACCTTTCAGCTCCAGATTATGGAAGAAACCAACAATCAAACTATGATTTTTAAGAAGCTTTTATAAAAGTAGCACTTTTTTCATGTGCCCTTGATCTGAAAGAAAGAAATCCAAACCAAAAGAATATCAGACAGAAAACTGAGCTACTATCAGAACAAACTCTCCTTTTTATTTTCAAATATCTTTTCACAGAGTTTTAAGGAAAATTGAAAAGTTCTATGGATAGTTCTTGGAAATGTCATTTTCATGAACTCACGGTCAGGAATTGTACGGGTAATTACTAACAGCACGCACCTGTCCTCTCTATTACGAAGGGAGTATGGTGAAGAATAAACACAAAAATAGGAAAATGTAAAGCTTTGTAAAATATGGACGAAAGCAACACAAACTTTATAAACCAATAGAAACTCTCTCAGGTCTAAGAATCTACCTTCAAACTGGTTCAGAGTAATAACCAAAGTATCCATAAACATTTTAGAAGTGTTGAATTCTTACTGACTCTCACTGGGGGGTAGCTAAGTGACAAATGCTATTTTTTAATCCATAAACAACAGCATTTCAGCAATTAGCAATACTATCTTGGAACTAAACGCTTCTCAATGAACAAACTTAGTTGAGAGACAACCGAGCTCATTCCAGTCTGGTGGCCGGCACTGATCTGGTCCAGTCCCTCTCTCCCCAATAACCGTGCAGAAGGAACTCTTGACCATGAAGTGCTGCAGGATGAAGCCCACTCACAAGTGCCCTAGTGACCTGGAAGTCAGGGTTAAAGGGCGGCTTAGTAAGATGAGGCATCGAGATTAGGAAGGTCAAGAATAAGGTAACCACTGCTATTCACCAATTCTATGTAACTGCCAAAAAAAAAAAAAATTGTGCAACTTACCTCCAAAGCACCCACTACCTCATTTTTTCTCTATGTGATTTTTTTCTTTACTGTTCTTTCAACTTCTTACCTTCGCTCTGGTAAGTTCTGAAGGACAGCAACGCCAAGAGGAATGTTGCCTGAGAGACTGCAGAGAGAGCCATAGGTTCTGCTTTCCTGAGAAAGGGCAAATCACAAAGATGGGAAATTTTATTTAATTTTAGCTCTGAGCAGGTTTTTTGGAGCCAGCTTTGCTAGATCATGTCATTAAAGGCTCCCATTCTTCTCACCTCCCTATATCCAGGCCTCTTGTAATGTGACTTTGAAGTCCCAACCCCTTCCCAGTAAGAGGAGTATATTTCTCTGTTCTATGTGATTTGCTCTGGCCATAAATGAGGCAGAAGTGATGGTGTGCCAACTAGGAGCCCAGGCCTCAAGAGACCTTGTATATTTCTGCTTGCTCTTTTGTGTTTCCACCTTTGGCATGAAAACGGAATCTCTGGGCTGCCCCATTAGACTGAGGGGGAGAATGAGCAACACCGAAGGCAGAGCTGAGTCACCTCAGCTGCTCCAGCTGGGTCCAGTCTAGCTCAGCCAGCTACCTGCCACACTCCAGAGAAGAGCTGCTGATCCCAGATGTGAGCAAAGAATGCTTACTGCTCCGTGCCCCTGTGGCTGCGTGGCCGGAGATAACTGATGCACCAAATTCTTCAAACCAACCGAAGGTTGGTAAAGAAAGGCAAAGCAGAGAAACAAAAGTTAAATATAAAAAACAGACTCTGATTAGAAAGAGAACAAATGCCAGTCTCAAAACAGCTAAATTTAAATTAAGTACTTATCAGGGAGTCATCTTCACTCTTCCCTGTCTCTCTCATTAAAATTACACTGAGGAAAGTGAACATGCTCTACCTACAGAAACAGTGTTTCATTGTGCAAAATAATTTCCGGTTTTCCTTGCCTTAGGAGAGGGTTGTAAATTATCGGCCAAAGAATTTCACTGATCCATCAGGCCCTTTGTCTACAAGACAATCTGAGGGCAAAAACAATGATCCTGGATGACCTCAAGAAGGTTAATAAGTTCTTAATTTAATAATAAACATGTTAGGGGAAGCATTAAATTTTACTTTTCTACTTCAAATTCTGACTCATCAGGAAGAGAAGCAATGAAACAATTCAAAGTCAAAATTGGCCTTTGTCTAGCCACCTGGCTCATCAAAAGTTAGGAATTCAGTGAACCAGTTCAGCAATTCTCACTACCCACACTCTCTATTTTTAAAAATAATATTTATAGGTAAATGGGAACAACAGGAAGACAGTAAACCAAACCATTACATTATGCTCTAGAGTGGTCTAGCCTGCCTATAGATGAGCCCAATTGCAAACAAAGTGAAAGTCTTTAAACAACAACTTTTGTTCATGTTCTCTTAAGCATTGCTTTTTGCTACTTGTATTTTTGGCAAACAGGTCATTTACACTTCTCTAAAATCTTTACTTACAACTTCAAATAGGTTCCTATTACTGGGAAGAGGATAGGACTCCAAAGTCACGACTTGGTGGGGCGGGATGGGGCAGGGGAGAGGAACAGAGTTAAGAGAAAATAGTTTCTGCTCAGAACCAAAGCGGAGACAAAGAAAAACTGTCAAAGTAAAGCATCTGACACTCACTGTGCAGTTTAAATATCCTTCCGGTCCTAGTCTACATACAGTATCTCAGTCTCCTTACATTTGTGTCACCCGAGGGATGCGAAATGCCACCATCGTAAGGAAATCTCATCTAGTAAATTTAAAAGCAGACAATTCAGGGAGTGATAGGCATGTAGCCTTGTATTCTTTTTATAAATGGACTATTTGAAATGTTTCTAAAACTTTGGAGTCATAGCAAATCAAATATTTTACATGTCGTAAAAATTAAACACGTCATCTGGGCAGAGAAACTTACCTACCAGTTAAGGGCAACCAGAAATGGAAGAAAAGTTGTCATCTAACACAATTTAAATATATAAGTATTTATAAAAGACACACTCCTATGGTCTGGATAACACAGGAAAGACTTTGCAAATCACCAGGACAGTCCTGTCTGGAAGTCCTGCCTCCCTTATTGTGCCACATACATCAGGTTGTGAATCTGAGATTAGTTTTAGCAGCTGTTCGGATTACATCAGTCTGACATGCACAGTCTAACACATGCTGGGCAGGTGACAACCATGACATGGTGGTCACTGCCTGCATACCAGCAAGGTGGTTATTATTTCCTATGGTGTAACTGGACAGCTGCCACCTTCCGCAAGTGAATAAGACCACTTGCAGAAGGACGGTGAGTCCTAGCTATTGTCTGAAAACCTGGTAAAATTGATAAAGTTCATGAAAACTTGCAGAACAAGAGTCAGCAGCTGGAACATCCCAGAGACATAAATGGAATTCCCTTGGGGAAATTCTGCATGAACAATTTTTCTGACAGCACAGAGGCTCATGCTGTGGAAAAAACACAAACACCAAGGGCTCAGAGCTGGCAGTCGCAAGTCCCAGGAGGGGACACTGCACGATCCATGCAGTGTCCCCTCCACAGCTCATACATAAATCCTTTTTGAGTTATCCTATTCCAAGTTTGCCGGTCATGGTCAATGTGGCACCATCTATTAAAATGGGCCCCTGACTAACACGGTGAAAATCTTGGGGGTGAGGGAAAGAACTGTGCAAAGATCCTGGGGAGAGTGCTTGGCTTAGGGGCCGGGTGTTGGGGGTGAGCAAGGAGGTGAGGGACAGGAGATGAGATTGGAGGGCTCCCAGAGAGGAAGAGCAGATGGGGAAAACATTTTTGAAACTTCGGCTTCTACTCTGAGCCAGGTGGAAGCCACAGGAGAACTTTAAAGCAGAGAAATAACATGATGTGACTTATATGGAACAGGAAGGACCCTGGAATGAGAAGAGACTAAAGCGGGTGGTGGCAGGGAGAGCAGTTAGGAAGTCACAGCAATAGTCCCGGGGAGAATGACGCTGGCTTAGCCCAGGGTGATGGCAGTAGTGGCGTCATTCCAAAGGGATTTTAAAGCTAGAGCTGGCAGGGGTAGTAACAAAGTGAGACATCATAAATGACTCCAAGAATTTTGGCTGAGCCCCTGGAAGAATGGAATTACTGTTAATGGAGAAGCGGATTTAGTAGGCTGTGTCAAGAGTTCTTTTTGCGACATGTTAAATTTGAGATGCTTATTTTGATATCCAAGTGGAGATATCAAAGAGCTAGGTGGATACACAATACGGAGTTCATGAGAGAGGTCCTGGCTGGGGGTATAAATTCAGGTGTCCTCAGTGCATATATAGCAGTTAAAGCCATAGGACTGGACAATCGCCAAGACAAGAGAACAGACAGAAGAGAGAGAGGACCCAACATGGAGTGCTGAAGTGCCACGCGCCCTATTTTCTGCCCTCTCATACAGATCAAAACGAAAATCCAGGATTAGGCCAGGTTCTCCTGCATCCCCTCAAGGACAAGGGCTGTGTTGCGGGTGGGCTGGTGAGCTCCTTCAGCATCAGCCGGTGCCTTTTCCCCATAGGTGGATGCTCGGGGTGCACCCAGTAGAGGTTGGGTTTTCTTCCACAGCTCTGCTTCTGATACCAAAAAGGCCACCCAGCCCTCTCATTCATTCAACAGGTGTTCTGTCTCCACAACTAACAGTGAGGAGCATGGCCACTTCCAATTTCCAGTAAGAAAAGGAAATCAGAAAAGCATGAAGTAGCAGAATTCAGAAAGGAAAAATATTTTCTTGCCTCATCTGCACCCCTTGGTCTTTGCCCCAAATTTGTTCTTTATTTCTATTTTTCAGATATCCATCATTCTCAGCTAGACTGTAAGTGGCTTGGGAACAGGTCTGGGTCTTACTCTCTGCTATCTATCACAGTCCCAGAACATAGTTGCTTTCAGAAAATATCTGGTAAATGAATAAAAACGTGTACCAATTTTCTCACATTCTCTCTTTGCTTTCCATTTTATTTTAACTAAAACAGATTCCTTTTCAGGCCCTTCTACTTTTCCTGTGGCCGAATATTGCCTAATTTGCAGTCTTTGTTGACTGTCTTTCTCTGTGGAGAAAAGGGGAGGAAAGAAAAGAAAACCCACCCATTCGTTTTGTAGGATTTCTCATTCGAACCTAGTCTGTTTTCAAAATGAAGATGCGTTTGACCACCCGTCCGTGTAAATACACATGCGTAATGAAACGCGGCTTTTGTAAAGGAATCAGTGTGCACTTCTCCAGCGGCACTTCCAGTTTACTCACTACGGAACTATTTATTCCTGGGAAGTTTTGCCATCAAAAATAATCCCCATTAGAAGCAGTACGATCTGTCATTTGCTTCCCAAGAATGTGGGTGTGTTGCTAAACTCTTCAAACTGGCTGGATACCTGATGATGTCATTATGCAAAAACTATCAGAAAGAAATAAGCTGTTCATCCAAGACACGTGCTGGGGTGTGCACCTTGTGAAAGAAACCATAGTGAAATTTGCATAATCTATCTGAGCATGATATGAAACCCAGAAGCAATAAAGACAAGGATTGCTATACTGATTAAATATTTTAAGAATCTTAGTGCTATAATTGGACCAATAACAAACAGAACAATGGTTTCAATACTTAAGGCAAAGGGTTACCATCCCTAATATATAAAGAGCCCTTAGAAATTAATCAGAAAAAGACAAACAATCCTGTAGAAAAATTGGCAAACAACAAGATATGCAGTAAATTAAAAAGAAGGAAATACCAATAACCAAAAGAGAAAAAAGAAAAAAGAAAAACTGGACACTACCACTAATAATTAAATAAATGCAAATTAAAAAGAGTAATTGTGTATGTCTCTCTGTGTGTCTACATGTGTCTTATTAGCAAAGTTTTAAAAAGTCTTAAAACCTAGCCTTGGTAAGAGTTTGAAGAAGGAGGCATTGTTACTCACTGATGGTCAAAAAGTACAACTTTATCATGGTCAATGTGGCACCATCTATTAAAATTTTAGTATGCAGTACCTCTGATTCAGAAATAGTATTTCTGGAATTCTGTCCAATAGTGTGTGTGTGTGTGTGTGTGTGTGTATTTCTTTTAAAGAATATTAATTGTAGTATTTATATTAAGGGAAAACAAAAACAATCTACATATTTGTCAAAAGAAACTAGAAAATTTAATTATAGTGCATGATGATGGTACTTGTACAATTCATTTTATATACTTCTCTATTGTTTGAATGAGAGTGTATTCAGTTATTATTTGTATTATTTTAAAAACATTAAAAAACAGATGACTTGGAGTAAATAAATGATGAAAAACTAGTAGAACTAAAATGAGAAAGGAAAGAAGGCTGTGAAGCCAAGGACAGAAACTGGAAAAGAAACTCTCATTTTATGTATCTCCAAGGAAGCCTATTTAAAGGGAGGGCTATTTCTCACAAGATTCTATTTGTTTTATTTTCCCCCATTTCACATTTTCTTTTTAAAATCAAGGAGGACTTCCTCTCCCAGGGATAGGAGAGTCAGGGCTCACCGCTCCCGTAAGTGAGCGAGACAACACTCACTATTTCCTTCTACCAGAGCCAATAACTCCCTAGACCAGTCCCCACGAGGAAAATGTTCCTTCTTCTTGTCAAATCACACCCATTCCTCTTTCAAAACTGCAATAGTTTTCCTGCTTTGGTTCCTTTTTCAGGACAAAGGGGTTATAAGAACATTGGAGACTCTGGAACACCTCCGTGTACTGAGGTAGGTAGGTGTTCCTGGCCTTTCTCATTAATTTTTTTGGGAAGTGTTCTTAGGCACATTTGCTGGGATGACAGAAGGCAGAATTGCGACCAAGATGTAAGTCACAAGGAGGCAAGTTACAGCTGAGAATTAGCTCTGTCCAGCAACAAAATGTTAGGTGGTGAGCTCCCTGCCACTGCAGGCATTTTGACAGTAATGACACCAAACTGAGCACGCCTTGAAGATTCTGAATAGGTAGCTGAGGTTGGAGTTCAGTGCTTTGAAAGCTCCAGGAATGATTCTGAGGCACAGCTAGGTTTGGGAATTCCTGGCCACTACAACTCTTTGGGGTCCTTCAGTCTCAAGGGTCTCTGAGGGCATTTTAAAGCAGCCCAGGAGAGAGACAAAACAGAACAATCATGAAACATTGGACCGCTCTAAAAAGGGTCGTTAAGTTTGAGGCACAGCATAGTGGTTATAAGCAAACTCCAAAGCCAAATCCTGACTCTGCCACCTGCTAGCCGTGTGACCATAGACACTGCTTAATGGCTCTGGGCCTGTTTCTTCACTAACAAAATGAGAATGACAAAACTAGTACTACCTATCGGTGAAGCTTAAATGAGCTAGTATGTGTAAAGTACTTAGAATAGTGGTCGGTGCACAGAAAGTATGAACCATTATTATTTTGCAGACAAGAAAACTGAGGCTAAAGTGATAAGTAACTTGACCCAAGTCCCAAAGTCAGTTTTAAACTTGGGAATAAGACTCAAAGCTTCTTTCCTTCTAGCTCAAATTAAATATATCATATTCAATTCCTTCCTATCTTCTGCGTACATCTACTCTCACATTTACTCCTCTTTGAGTTGTAGAATAAGCGTCACAAAGGTCTTTCCAGCTGATCGGTTAAAAAGTGGCCTTTCTCTGTGGCATTGTGCCTCCCGAGGGCAGGCAGGCAGGACGAATGGATGGATGGATGGATCATAAGCAGGTGGATAACTGACAGGTCAAGAACCATCAAGAAAGGACTCACGGAGTCAGGAGCAAAGCCATGGGTTCAGGCGATTCCAGCGCTATCGCAGCCAGCTCTATGGTCTTGGACAAGTTACTGAACCCCTCCACGCCCAGGATTGTCTATAAAATGGGGTGGGGGGCACTTACAATTGCAAGGCTTCAGCTGTACAGCCTGCCAACTCTGTGCTACCTCCATTCACGCGCCAGAAGAGGGTAGGCGTCTGTCCCAGACACCAACATCACGGGGAAGGGATGCCCTAGCTCCACCTGTGGGTGAGCACCTTCCGCTTCTAGGTGTAAGTGGAGACGGGGTGGAGGGAGACCTGATTGCAAAAGGAGTGACCCTGTCAGGGGGGAGTTAATGGCGGAGGAGGGAGGGAGGCCGGGGACAGCAAAGAACCTCCACGACGGTGTGTCCGGGGAGAGGCAAAATGGATCAAATGGGATTTTAACTCCACAAACATTCCCGACCACTTGAGGAAGCGGCAATTGGGGCAGTGAACGTAAAAGCAGGGCAGGAAACATCGTGTGGACCCCGCGGCGCGCGCTCTGTAGAGAATTACGCGCCAGGTGGGCGGCCCGGGGCGAGGACCCCTCGAGGCTCAGTCTCCCCGCGGACCCGGCAACGCGCCGGAGCGAACGCGGGGCAAGGACGGCGCGG